ATGATAGTGCAGAGGATTCAGAAAGTGTTGGATGACTGATCCAGTCAACATCATGGTGTCTGGAGTGATTGTTGTAAATTATTATATACTAATTCGGACATGTGTCCATGAGAACGATATGAATTCATCTGTTCTTGGGCAACTCTGAAGTGAAAACTAGTTGGGCATCATGGAGCTGGTAACTGTTCCTTATGAAAATTTGCTTGCTACAGAAATTACAGCAGCAAAACCATTTAGTGCTATTCATTCTACAGGGGCGTTAGAACTAAAAATGGTTGCGGAATCTTTTGAAAATAGTGCCATTGGCATTCGAAATTGTTAAGGTTCAGTAAAAGCAGTAGTTGCGATATATGTAATATCATTTATTTTTTTCTCGTTAAAAAGGTTCGCATTTGTGATGATTTTTTGCTTTACCAATCCAACCAGAGGATAATTTCACTAACTGAACTCACGACTATGTAACAATATACACGTAACTAAATTTTATATCCGTTAAACCATTCATAAAATTCCCTCGTCTGAGTGCCTCAAGGGACAATGCTCACGGAGTGTGGATCAGTAATTTGATAGCAATACACGTAGTTTCTGATCTGAAAATATTACCGTATAATGTTCTATCTACTTTATTACCGTTCATAATGATTTATTTGCATTGACAGAAAGGAGATTTTACATTTCTGACATCAAAACAAAAAGACTGAATGAATTCTATCTACTAAGGATCGAATGTCTTTTATTTCAGTATGAATAATAATCGTTGACACATTAAGTCAAAAGTTGGACATTCCATTATTACTGTAATTTTATTTTATTTTTTAGGTATTTTAATCTTGATAAATTGACATGTGTACTTAGTTATGTTCTTTGACATAAACATACTTACAATCGTTTGTCTTACTTTCGCTGCTACATTTCTGTAGAATCTGAGTAAAAGTTTTGGCGCATGATGCTTGTTAACTTAAACTAAGTCTGTATATTCGATATCATTCTCGATATCATCATAAAAATTATCCTTGTTAGGATCTTTCTTTGAGTTTCGCAAGTAACTTTATGACATATCCCAACCTATTACATTACGAGCAATGGCGGTAAGAAAGTTAAAGCTCAGTTCCCGTGAGCCTTCATTGCCCACGTTTCACTAAATCGGATTTATTTATAAGAGCTCTGTGGGGAAATCTTCAGCAAGAGTTAAGCCAAACTAAAGATCCATAAAATGATTACACTAAAATGAAGGAAAACATTATTAAACGAAAATGGATATATTCAATCAAAATATATAATATTGCAGAAGATGCTAAGTATGCGTTTCAGGGATTGATAAAGATTTTTAAATAAATAAAAGAGAAATGGTTTTAATTTGAATTATCACCAAAATGTCTGACACACCTTTGGGAATCGGAAAAGGTGACGAAATTATTCCTTATTATCTCTACACTTTGTCTAAAAGAAAACTTCTATTTTGGACGACGGTTTGCTTTTGTAACGAGAACGATTTTAGGCTCAATGAAATTCTTTCAAAATTTAAACGAATATTTAGTAACTAAAATGACAACGCGCTTGTATATATTGAAGAAACGCGTAGATTCATGAACAAGTCCATAATGAAATAAAGCATTTATTTTACACAACAATTATTTATCGATATAATCTCTTTCGATGTAAATTCGTAAGTGATCGAAAAAGTGCAACTTCCGCATCAAAATTCGGTGAAAAACTGTCAGGCTACAGACCCATTGATCCTTCTTCATAATTACTGATTTCATTTTTCTGAAAAATAAGTTTTTATACAATCCTTTATTTCAAATAAGCAAATTTTATTACTACTATTTTTACTGTTACTTCTTTCTCTATAAAAGTCGCATTTTTCTGAATAAAACCGTTGTTTTCTCGACTATTCCCAGACGTAATAATTAATTACTCTTCTATTCAAATATTATTCAAATTATCTATTATTCAGTGTAAGTACATGTAATTATTCAACTGAATTTATATTTTGTTTATTATAATTATGCTTTCATAAATTATCCTTTAAATATTTCGCATCAATTTATATACCAAGCTGTTAAAGAGAATGTTACTCTTAAAAGAGTTTCATGTCATATCACCAATGGTTGTTCTTGCAAGTTAGTCTAGATTGAATACATTAATTCTTATATTTCTTGGCATTTTTGTCATTTTCTGACATTGTCTGATCTTTCTTGAGGAGCAAACTTGAAATATGTAAAATCTATTGATAAATAGGCCAAGTATTGCCAAGTGTTTGCTTTTGACGTACAATAAACTTTGTGCATTGAACTTTGAGAAATTGTCTGGCTTCAGAGCATTTCATTTCGATTCTGAAGTGAATTTTATGATAAAAGTCATAAAAGGACTCCAAATATTTTCAACACTCATAATGCATAGAACTTTTACAATGTCAAATCTCCAGTGCTTTCCTCTGTATTCTCATCAACATTAATACGGCTATAATTTTTATCTACATATCCAACAGTTTAGGTCC